AGTAATGGCAATTCTCATTGGGACATGAAAGAAAATGATATAAGAAATGGTACACTTACAACAGCAGGAAACTCATCACTTTATGAGACTGGACTATATACAGGACCCAAAACACTCAAATATATGTGTTAGATAAGAATTAGAAGAATTATGTCACCCATCAAAGTGGAACCACTTCTGCTGTAGAAAATGGCAGACTTTCAGTTTTATATAACAGTATGACGTAAAGAAAAAGGCTCAAGTCCACCAACATCTTACACGTCAAGGATGCTGCTGTTTTTGGCACGTTGCCCCAAAATGTTGCCAGCCCCCGTACTAGAGCATGGCTTCACTTACTGAATCACAGAAATAGTTCTTTTTCCCATCCAAATAAAAACTGTTCTTATCCTGCTTACATTAGGAGATCTTATGATATTACAGCTTGCAATAGTGTGTCTTGTCATGTTTACAGTTAAAAATGGGATTGAAAAAATCTGTCCGCCTAATTTTAAATTCAGCCCTAATTACTACTTTATTTAGGTGTAGACAGATATAATGGGGGATCGCTTAATAAAGGTATCTTTTTCATTCAGCTGCACTTATAAAAAATAAATTTTGCACACCAGGAATAAATAAATATAAGTTGCTGATTACATTATTTCCATTTAGCACTGGATTTATAAAAAAGGCATCTAAGGGTAAGCCAGTAATTTCATCCTTCTGGAGGCTTACCATTTGGTGGTTTTAGAGTGTAACTGTTGTATCAGTGATACGCTACATGTATATTAATGGTTTTATATGTAGTTAAATTAAGGGCACGTCTACTGCATATTGGGACGTGCCGTTAGAACATGATCCACCTTTTTGCTTTTGCTCCATGAGCATTACATGTCAAAAAATGTCACATAACTGGTGTTTAAATGGTGCTAGGCATGCTCAGCATCATGCTTATCAGTACACATAACACTGAAAGCCTGAGACTGATGCTAGGCCTGGTCTGTACATGTGCCTAAAGTAGCTATGTGACATTTTTCTGGCATGCAGCAGGTACAAAACAGAAGCGAGTAGGCACAGAATGGTTTTTGGTGACATCCTCTTTTACTGCCTGGCTCTAGAAATCTACATTTTAAGATTTTACAACAATTGGTGCCTGAAGCTAAGCTACCAAGTCCACATTTAGACAATTTACATATGTAGCCTCTCAAAAGGATGGTAACGGAAGAGCCAAGAGACAGGAAGGGCTGGAGCTCTGGGGCATCAGTACCTGGGAGCTAGCAGGGCACTCTGGCCCTGCAGGGTGGGGAGCTCCTGTGCAAGGTGTCTGCAGATGAGCCAACTGGCACCCATGTTGTCCCAGAGAGCTGTGTGGGAAAAGCCAAGGGGGACTTATAGCTTGTACTGATCTAGTGTAGGGAGAATGTTTGTTATACAGCCACTGTGCTTGTGTTTACGTTGTGATTAGGTTAATTGATTGTGGCTATGGGGTAAGTGTGGAGGCCATGAAGAGGTGCCTGGCAGGACAGTCAGTAACTAGTAGCCTTGCCTGGGGTAGGGTGGCGACTGTTACATTCCCAAAACACAGGACATCCATTGGTGAGGGGTGAAACCACTGGTTCCCCTGGCTAATCAGTGGTGAGGGTTAGGGCCACTGCCTCCTCAGCCAATCAGCAGCGACAGGTGGGTCCCTGGCCCCTTGGTCAATCAGCAGCAAAGTGTGGGACCACCACAAAAAGATTGCTATTCGATCCATGAGCCCCACACTGATGAATAATGGTGTCCTGTGAAATGAGGGAAAGCAAATGCTAGGATCAGCTAGCAAGTTTGTGAGTCTCTGCAGTTCAGCCAGCAGGGAGCCTCGCCTCCTCCCCTTGCATCATGGTCTCACATATCTCACAGCTCTGCCGTTCTCCTCAGACAGTGCAGCCTTGAGAGAACATGGCGCTATAGGTATGAGGCTCAAATACCCCCTCCAGTCTCACTCCAGCCCCACTCCACACTTGGGAGCCAGGGGCACACACTGCACAGGGACCTCACCTCCTCCCTGTCAGCATTCAGCACAGACACTGGGAACCCAGGAATCTGCCCTGACCACATCTGGTCACAGCTGGGCTGAATGGGGTGAGTGGACATTGGATGCCTGTGGTAGTGCAGCCAGCTGCCTGGTGGACCTTCTCTTTCTTCCCAAAGAGACAGACAGGTTTGCCTGTCCCAGAGGAGAAATAATGGCTTAATGAGCTGGCCCAGTTGCTCAGGAGCTTGGAGGCCCTTCTGCTCAAAACTCCCTCTTCCTGCACAACAGGACACCCCAGGGACTCACTGAGCTGCTCTGTGGGTGCAAAGATGGTGACCATAGATTCCTCCCAGTCCCACTGGTGTTCTAGCAGATACAAATGCAATGTTCCACCTGCCGGCTCTCAAAGCCATTACCTTATGCCAAGGTGTTTGTGTGCAGACCACTTGCCTGGTCCTGGCAGCCCAGGCCTACTGGCACAAGCCCAGCCCAGGGTCAGGGAGCTGCTGTGTAGGCACTTGCACTGCAGCCACGGCTCCTCCTTCAGGCAAGGGGGGGACCAGCACCTGGCACCCTCCACCTCCCACCCTGGCTGGCTCAGAACCCTGCTCCTCCTGGCTGTGCACTCCCATACCGCTAGGCACAGCCAATAGAATTGTGAGGACAAATGGTTGACATGCATTTCCACCAATGAACTGAAAATCAGGACTTTTTGCAGTCTGTTCCTCATTCAGGAATCAACAGGGGACAATGGGTTTAAAAACAGGATGGTTCAGTATAAAACCAGACCAATGGCCAACCTAGCCTGGGATGAGGGGCCTAGTAGAGAGCTGGAGGAGCCAGGGAAAGGCCAGGAGAACCAAGGCCACAGTAGAGAGGCTGAAGCCAAGGGAGGCTTAAGCCAAGAGGGTTAAAGCACGCTGAAAGGGGCTGAAGCCCAACAGGGGCCGCATCCAGACTAGGGACAGGGGCCCAGGTGGAAGTGAGCCTTGCCAGGGCCAGGGGCTCGGTAAGCTAGGCAGGTTGTTTAAGCAGACAAGGCCAGTGGACCCAGTACAAGACTTAGAGGAACAAACGTGAGGCATGGTTGCGGCTACTGAGGTGGAAAGAGACTACAAATACTTCATAAGGCAACTGGTGTCCTGTGGCACTAACAGGGCCAGGAGGACCATAACATAGTGTCACAGGAGCAAGGTAGAACTAGACCAGGCTCACTCTGGGGCCCTGGGGGCAGCTTCCTAAACGTTTATAAATAATATGAAGGCATGACAGGGGAGATGGAAAGGGAGGTACCCCAGGGAATTGAAGGGAGGGAGGGACAGGGGCTGAGTGACCACCTGGGGGTGTCATGGCCATCCCTGGGCCCTGATCCTGTCACAAGGAGGTATTAATCTAATGACACAAAGAAATATATTCTAATATGTTTTATATCAGTATATTATTTTAGCTATGATTATATATAATAAACAGAGCCAAATTGAGCCTTTAATCATGCTTGATTGCAGTAAACACTACATTTGCAAACTGCTTTTATCCCCGTAGACAGAAGGTGACACCAAATTCTAAACATAATACTCATTGTCTGTGGGTCGAGTTTGACTGATTGTGAAGGGTCAACCTAGCAGACAATCTTTGCTATTGGTCTTCTGCTCATAAATGTAAAATATTTCCATCCACAAAATATGTGAAGCTCCTCTGCTCTTATCTTCCTTTCTGTTCCAGACAAAAAAAACAAACAAACCAACACAAAAAAACAAAGACCAAGGGACTTCATAAAGCAGTTTGTTAACTATCACTGCACTCAGGATATAGCAGTATGTTTAGGGGGAAATATTACCCAAAATGTCACTGACTGAAAAGCTTCTACTCAAAATTCCATCTTTACTGTTTTTGGCAGAATCCTGGAAGTCCACAGCTCAGATCCTGTAAAGAGGTGCACACATGTTTATCTTAATCCAGATTAGCATTCCCATTGATGACAATGGGATGGCTTTCATTTGCAGTAGTTGGGAAAACTGAAATCCAGCGCCTGCTATGGACCCACTTAGTGGGCTATGGACACTTACAGCTTATTTAGAAATCATCTAATTATTGTTAATAATGAACAATTTAATAAAACCACTTTCCACAGCATCTTCCATCTCCAAAGACTACTTTCTGTGGAGATTTTTTTCATACAGGTCTCTCATCAAAATACTAAACACACACTTAACCTTGTGTAGCTCATGGAGTTTGCCAAAATCACAGGCAAAGGCGCTGCCTGAAAGCTACTAAAGTGGTTCTGAATTTCATTTCTAAAATAAGTAATTAATGGATACTTTTGGGCCTTTCTGGCTTTACATTTATCAGTGCCCTTGAAACAAATTCAAATGTGTTTATGCATCTGTATCTCCAGTATACACCATATGACTTTTGCTATTCTTTCCTTCATCCTAATTAATGGGTATTCCCTGGCATAAATCCCATAGCTGCGGTGAACAGCTCTTGGCAGAGATGCCAGTACCAGCCTTTTCAATAGAGTTTCTTTTTGCCACATGCTTAAGTGTGACCTACATCAAAGATGACAGAAAACAAGTGCAACTTTTTCAGACCAATAGTTGTAGGGTCTACACAGAGTAAAGACATAAGTGTATCTTATATTACACCATAATTCTGCTCACCCAGCCCTTTCAAATGATTATTCTTTTTCCCTGTAGCCCTTCTCCATGTGCATACCTAATCAGCAAGTTTAATTTATGGCCCTTGTTGCTTTCTAAATGTTTAATTAAGTTAGTGGTTAGAGCTGACTCATAAACCCATAAAAACTCAGAGTGGGAAACTAATTATTCACTGCACCTGCCCTCCAAATAATTAGCATAATTCATTACCAACAATTAGCAGCAATAGTGCTAAAAGTTAGCTACCCTAGCAGTTGTAAAAATAAGGACAGATCTCTATCTTGCAAGCAACGCTGGGGAACTGGAGGGAAAAAAGAAAATCAAGAAAGGGCTTTTGCGAAAGCAGGACTTACATATTTCCTTTGCCATCATACACCCATTTGGTGCTGCCAATTCCTTCATAGTCTGAAGCCCAGTAATAAAGGCATGCATTAATGTGCAAGATAAACAGCAGGTATCCAGTTGTTCGAATGACTCTGTAAAGGACAATGCATTCTATCACAGCTGATGTAACTCCTGCTAATGTAGGCTGATTTTATTTTGCCTTATGTAACTCCTACTATATGTCACCACAATACACCACCTTGACCATCTCTCCATTCTTCCTGGTGTCAAATAAATCACCTTTGTAGAATAAATGACACATGGTCACTCCTAACCTAAATTTGTCTTAGGACTTTATAATCCATTGGTTACTTGGCTATGAATATTCATAGAGAATTTGAACTATATTAACAGAACTGTTGGGTACAAATCAATGTGCTTGACAACTTCTGCTCAAGAAGGTTTCAGGGCTGAAGCCATAGGTGTTTCAGGTCAGAAATGTGCTTCACAGACAGAGCTCTCTGAGGAAGTTTGCCAAATGTCAGCTTCTGGGTAAAGCCAGTATTTTTGGTCCCTCACTTTCTTGAGAAAATAGTTCACCCAATTAAAGGAAAACCACAATACCCTCCTTCATCACAGGCCAGCCCTTTGTTCAGAAACTTTTTTACTTAGGTAAGTTATATACCAAACTTGTTAGCAAAGAGGGTCAGTAATTTAGTAGGCATAGCAGCAGATCCAGGCTCTGGCATTTTAGGCTAGATCCTATAAATTAGGTCAGTGCTTCAGGCCTAATCACTATATATGTTGTCAAAGGAAGATTCGTCCTGACGTGGAGCACTCATGATCCTTAAGGAATACATAGGGTGATGTAGGCCCATAAAGGCAGGATCCTGAGAAGTCAGCTGAGCAGGAAGCTGCCTAACTACTGGCTAAGCTAGTCAGGAGTGATATGCAGAGTGAAAGGAACTGGGCTCATCTACACAGTTTTCTAGTCTGTGGAAAACAAAAGAGAAAAGGAGGTGGAGTATCACCAAAAATTCAGTACTTTAGTGGTTAGGACACTGACCTGTGATGTGTAAGTCCTTGCTCTGAATCAGGCAGAACAGGGATATAAACCTGGGTCTCATATCCCAGGGAGTGTAACTGCCAGAGGACAGGCAGACAAAAAGCTCTCATTTCTACAAGCTGCATCTAGCTAAGGCATACTCCAAGTATATGTGCAAGATCAGATCCAACATTCTTATTAAATGGGGGAATATTTAGTCTGAAAATCTGCTTTGGAGCCTGCAGGGCTTTGGCCTGATGTAAGACTCTGAACAGCTTAGCAGGCATGGGGTGACATGAGCACCTAGAGAGCTTTGTGCAGACTGGTGGAAATTAAATGCTACAAGACTTGGGTAGCTACAAGATGAGGTGACAGCTGAGCAGCAATTTTGGAAATGTTAATGGCACCTAACAGTGGATTTAGATGTTTAAATAGGTGGAGAGGTGTCCAAGCATCCTCTAGCTTTTTCTCAGTATGTGACTTTGCGCATATTACTTACCTTCACTGTGCTTCAATTTCCCTATCAAGACTTTCTCACAAGAGGCTTGTGAATCACCAGTATGGAAAGCACTAAATAAGTATTAAATACTATTAACCAACACCTGATCTTGTTAATAAATATGGTTATAGATTTAAAGTACATAGTAAACAGGAAGAAATAGAGAAATATAGGGAAGACAAGGAAGAATTTCTTCAGATAAGATTTATAAGGAATGAGAGGGAGCATTGACACAAAGCTATAGGAAGGTTGCTCAATATTAGGTAGGAACTACAGAGAAGGCAGCTCTTCCAATTCTGAACTGAATTCTGAAATGCTGAGAATTAGACCCATTGATCCAAGACTGTGTTTGAGTCTGAGGGCACATCTACCTGTCACCCTATGGTGACGTAACAATGCGCTACGTCATCATACAGTGCACTATGGCGATGTAGCAATCACATGGGTCTACACGTGATTGGCAGCTATGCTGTGGTAGCAGCACACTCCCCATTTTAGTGCCAGGTGCATGGCTCACTGTGGGCAATTACTGTGCTGTGCTTTAGTACTTCCAGTTAATAGTAAGCCTATTAACCTATGGGCGCCCTGGAACTAGCCAGGGAAGAATTTTCCAGATACATGTATTGCATAGACCAGAGGCAGCCAAACCTGTTAATGCTTTTATCAGCAAACCAGAATTGTATATGACAGAGAGCCACAAGGCACACAATTTTGGAGATGTATATGCCTCAGAGTCACTGATCCATGCCCTAGCTCAAATAATAATTTGTTCTTCTTCTCAAGAACAGAAGAAAATAAAAAATAATAAATGGACTAGCTAATCAACTAGCTAGTGCTAGTGATCAAATACAGAGAACTGGAATACTGCCATAAGCAAAGTTACTTCCTGTAACTTTACTTCCTGTAACTAAGTTACTTCTGTAATTCCCCCATTAAAGAAGCCCATCTTTATTTAGGAGATTTTCTGTAGCTAGTGGTAAACACGCACGAGAGTAACTTTACTCGTACATGCAACCCAACTAAATGGAATAGGATTTCTCATGTAAATAAAGTTATTTGTATGCATAACTGATTACAGGATCAGGGACTACAACGAAGAAAATGGAGATATTTAAAACGCAATGAAGATATTTAAAAGACAATGACTGAAAGGAATAGTTTGAGGTTCATCATTTGTATACCATGCCTGACTGACAGCCTGTAAGAGAAAGGCCGTGTATAGATGTTAAATTTCTACCAGAAGAATTGCCATTCTCGCAGGAGGAAGTAGGAACATACAAGTGTTCATTCATTTTCATCTAGAGGTAACATACCCACTCCGGGAGAAAGATCTTTCAAATCGACACCTAGAGGAACTCCCTTGTGAGAGAACCTGTCTCTTACAAGAATGAGCACGAGTACACTGCTCGAATGACTCACATTCTGTGTTAACCTTTCAATAAAGTGTTTATTGGGTACATACCTGTAGATGTATGCTTTGTCCAGGATAGCTTCCAACCGATCATTAAACTCAAAGAATGTGTTATGCTAGATGGAAATCAAATGTAAGCAATCCAACCATGATCTTATCACATTTTCTTTTCTACTGGGATGCACATTAGTAAACATACCTATTTTGTAACTACAGCATTTTTTACTACTCTGACTTGATTTGTGCATTTAGTTTAAAAGTGAACTGCAGAACTAATATAAAAAACGAGTTAAGCATAAATCTAGGTGGGCATTTTTGCATTACCTAAGCTATGGAAGATCCCTTACTATGAACCATAATGACTTATGATGATGATGATAAATGATTCTTTTATTCAGACAAAAAAAGTCTCTTTGTCTGCATTGAACATAATTTTGCCAGAGTGAATATATCATTTTAAAGATCTTTTTTCTTGTCCCTGATTAGCTGATGATATTCTAGACTGCATCATTCTGTAACATAACAATGTGAGGTCTCAGTGACTACAGTTCTCATACTAAATTATTAAACACTGATAATCTATTCATGTGCTGAATTCCTCCCACAGTAACTATTTTTACTTAGTTTTGCTGTTCACCTTTAACATTACCATATATTTTTAAAAATTGTTTTCTGGTCAGCATGCATTTGCTTGCCAATTTGTTATATGAGTGCTTCATTTTACATTCTTCCTTATCAGTTTGGTTATGAGTTATGGATACTTGTTGATAACAACAGCACAAAAACAAGCCACATTGCTGGAAAGGATGTTAAAAAGCATGCCAATGACCCTTCCTCCCTTCGCCTTAGTTCTTTTTACAGGCACATGCTGATTAACATAACAAAGTGAGACCTTTTTTAGGTAAATATTTGGTCTAAGGTTATATATCAACAATATTACCATAAAGGGTTTTGGTGTGGTTAGCCATGTTAGTTTGAAGACAAGGCAGAAGGTAGGGCACAATAGCACGTTACTCCCCCAGTTGACATTACAATGATCATGCATTTGGGATCTGAGGAATTTTGTGTCCAATCCTAAAAGTCCCATATCCTGTCTTGCCAGAATGTGTATGGCAGGACACATTATTTTTGAGACTGGGGATAAAATTCTTCAAATCCCAATCATGTGACTATGGAGCAGGCAATGCTGGAGCAGTCCCACATTTAGGAACCAGTTCCCTGATGTTGGGCTGTACAGACATGCCTTTCAGTGGGTGGGGAGCAGCCCTGAGTTCTTAATACAGGACTGGGGATACAGGTGGGAGAGAGTCCTGGGTCCCTGAGCTGGGATCTGAGGCTGCCTCTGCTGATTGAGTGGAGAGAGCAACAGCTCATGGTTCATCATGGAAATATGCAGTTGGGACTAGGAAGCTCTTCACTGGCCAAATGCATGTGCACTACTTCCTTGCTGAAGTATATACAGCCAGGGATTGTGGAGCTCCCCAGTCCCTGGGTGCACATCTCCAGGCCCATAGTTTCTCCACTAGAACGTGTACATCTGGGCATCAGGGGACTTTGGTCCCAAGCTGCCCTTTAAAGCAGCAATACAAACAATACAAACAAACCACCAAGTTGTTCTTCATTAAATGTGAAACATATTTGTGGCTGGCTAGCCATTTTATCATGCTGTAAATTCACCAAATATGTGGCACATTGCAATTTGTGACACAATTAGTAGGTTAATCGCACCAAAATTGTAACATTTGCCAGGGGCCCAAAAGACTTAACTGAGTTTGAGAAGCACAAATTTTCGTAGGCACTATCCTACTTTGTCAGATGCCTTGCCAGGACTGGAGGAAAGAAACATTTTTTAGAAGGGAAGGTACATAAAGAGTTTTGGTTTTGAAGCAGACGCTTTTCCCATTGTATAGTGCCCACATGCCAAGTTAATGAGTACTTTGCCTATATAGATAAAAATAAAGATTTTGACACTGTTTCATGTAGTAGTGAACTTTTCAGTGGTGGGAATAACAAAATGTTGGAGTTGAATAGAAGTATCTAGCTTCCAGGCACCTCAAGGGAATAATGTGGAGGGCCACAACTTCACTGAGACCTCCAGGAAATGTGCTGGATGCAAGAGAAATGTGCAGGCTGCCCCTCTCCACATCATGCAGCCAACTTTGCAAGCTGATGTGGAAAGCAGGCAGAACTATGGTCTCTCTCTTTCCTGTCCCATCCACACTTCATTGACCACTGTGTATTTCTTTGTATTTGGTATGAAATAATGTGCTTGGGTTTATTACATGGGTAGTACAAGATTTACGTTATCTTTAACTCTTCATTCCCTTGCCTGTCAGTGGTTGATTTTTATAAGTATTTGCAGTTTAAATAAATGGAATATACTCAGCCTGGATAACAGAAGCACTATTTACAAGTAAAAAAAAGTAAAGAAAAGTAAAATCAGCAGAAAAGCTCCAGATCTATGATTTCTGTTAGAAAATATATCTGTTGTCTACATATTCAAAAAAGGCAATATATCTTTTACATATTTATGTTGTAGCCATTTATAAATTCTGTAGTTTCGACCCATAGAAACAAGTCTTTATACATAAGAAGCTAAAAGCCCCAAAGATTTTATGGAAATTTTTGCAAGGTTTCAAACTTTTCATATTTACTTGGTCTTACCTTTAATACCCTGTTGGCTCTAAACATGGGGTTAAACCCAAAGAAGACGTATAGAACATCAAATGGTATTACTGATGCCAGGTCAAACTGTTGAAAAGCACAATTCAATTAAGACTTAACAAAAATTAAAATGTATTTACATGTTGTTGTGAACATGTCTACATTACATAAGCATTGTGCACAGAATATGATCAGTCAACATGCAGTTCCCATATCTTCCTAAATAAGTGACAAGCAATATAATCTCTTTAAAAAGACCAACGGCTTTTCATTGCCCCAGAGACCACACATTCCTCAGATTTTTATCTAAGGATTATTAAAAATATCTTGGATATTATTAAAAGCAATGCTATATTTAAATGATTAAATGCTATTGGATCAGCCTGAGATGTGTGTTGTGTGAGAGAAAAGAAAAGAGCACCACACAAGCCTCTCTTAGTAGGATTTTGAATGTCAGAGCCATTGCCTCCAGTGACCTGAGAGTGCACTACCTGCTCTAACCATATCAGAGGTGTCACCTCAGGTTCCCTTTAATGCAACCATTCTGTTTTATTCCATGTAGGTTCTTTTATCACCATAGTTTGTGAGCACCTCCCACCAATACCTGAAGAGGTGCAACTAACATGTTTTCACAGCTGGTTCTCTCTCTTTTCCCAAGTCTTTCCAAGAGAAAAGTCTGTTTTGTGGAGAGAAAGGAAACTGTGGTAGTTGGGTGCTGTCTTTTAAAGTGACAACTCCTGGCTACAACTCTGCCCTGCTGTTCCTCCTATGGTAAGAAATAGGGTTGTCAATTAATCACTGTTAACATGTGTGATTAACATGTTAATTGGTTCTTGCATTAATTTTTTAATGCGTTAATCACACACATGGTTTTGGAGCCTTTGCCTGGGCTGTGCTCTGCCACCGTCACCACTGCCTCTGGGCCTCCCAGAAGGGCAGCAGTGGCAGTCCAGAGGAGCTGCAGGGCAGCCCAGGTGTGTGCTCCAGGCTGCTGCAGCAGGAAAGGGGGGGCGCGCGCGCACACACACACACACACACACACACACACACACACACACACACACACACACACACACACAACCTGCAGCATGCATGCAGCCAGGAACGCAGCCTGGCAGTGTGTAAAGCAGCACTGAGAAGGTAAGCCTATGGTGTGAAAGAGGCAGGGGAGCAGATCAAGGCCCCCACAGTGAGGGGGAAAGTGGGGCAGGGGCTGGGGTGAATGGGGCCCCAGAACCAGGGTGGGTCATGGGATGGAGCCACAGGAGGCTTTTCCAGGAGTGCAGGTGCACAACCCTGGGGGAGGCGTGGGGGTTATGTGCCTCTTGGATTTGTGCATGGGGCAGAAGCAGGCTGCCCACTGCAGGCTGGGGCTCTGCACCTTGCTGCCTTTGCCCTTTGGCGCTGCACTATGCCATGTTGTGCGTCCTGTCACCAGGTGGGCAGAGGCCATGCAGCACAGCCAGCACTTAGCTCCCAGGCAAAGGCAGCAGGGTGCAGAGCCCCAGCCTTCAGTGGGCAGCCCACCTGTGCCCCATGCACAAATCTGGGGGGTACTTGTCCCCCTTGCCTCTCCCAGGGGGGCACACAGTGCAGAAAGCCACAGCCCCTCCCCCACATCCCTGGATGGCCTGCCCATGGCTGTGTCCTACAACCTGTCCCAGCCCTGGGGCCCCATTCACCCCAGCCCCTACCCCTGTCCCACTCCCTCCCTCACCATGGGGGCCTTGATCTGCACCCCCCATCCCTTCCCCTTCACAAATTTACCTGCTGGGTGCTTCTCTATATGCCACCGAGTTACCATAATTCTAGTTTCAATAAAGGACACCTGTGGTGGGGGAGTGTAATATGATTGTGGGGCGGCAGTGATATGCCCCTGCCCTTTCCCTCACTCCCAAACCACAGCCCTCTCCAGCACTGCTGCTGCCCCTCACTCCTGACCCATATTACTTCACATCCTGCAAGGGCATGTGGGGACCCCCGTCCCTTCCCAGGTTCCAAACTCCACCCCCACATGTTCATACATTTCCCCCAACAAACACACCCCATCCCCACCCCAACTATCCAAAGTACCTGCATAATTTTGCATAATTTTGAGTTTTTCTGTGCATAATTTTGAGGTTTTAGCTGTGCAATTAAAATTGTGATTAATTGTGACTGGTTTTTTAATCGTGCAACTAATTGCAATCAAATTTTTAAATTGTTTGACAGCCCTAGGAAGACAGTAAAAAGTTCTCAGATGCAGAGACCTTATCTCATCCATCCAGGAATGTTTCCACCTTAGGAAATGCCACTAAAGCTGTCAGTTACCTGCCAGTCACTCCATTCTTTGGCTTCCCAGAGCTGAGTTGGACTGTACACAATCCCTGTTTAGTGCCCCCTGGGCCCTGTTTTCCTTTACCGTATCTGCACAGAAAGGTTAAGTATAGAAAGTCAAAAAGCCTAAAAAGTCAAAAAGCCTGAGGCTGAATCAATTCAATCTTCACAGGTTAGTCTTAGCTGTGTAGATTGAACCAACAAGTAAGTGAACAGACATTCACAATTGAGTCAGAAAATGCAGGCACATGCCTGCAGTGGCCCAGGCCAACAGCCAGGGGGTGCTAGAGCACCCCTCCTTGCTTGGCTGGTAGCTTGGGCCAAATCTAGCCTACCCACCCTTCAAGGGGGATTTGCAGGGGAGGTGCAAAGCATGCTGGGATGCAAGGGGACTTAGAGTTAACTTGAATCTGGAGGGGATCTGGGACAGAAGTTAAATAAACTGATTTAACTTAAATCAGTTAAGTTTGATACTATATATATCCAGGTTTATCTTAAACTGGTTTCAGCCACTTTGAAAGCAGTTTAAGTGCACTGAACTTCTGTTCTGTTACAAATTTGAATCAGTTTCCAATCACTTATACCTGTTTATGTGTAATTGCTGACCCTAGCCAAGGAGGCAAAAATTAGCTTGTCTGAATATGTAACAATAGCATTGGATTAAAATGCAATTCCAAAATGAAAATGAGGATGGCCTATATTAGAGAGCTGCTGAGAAATCTCAGCTCCCATTACAGACATCAAGGGTAACAGGCACATTGCAGGATTGAACCTAAAAGACACAGGCCAAATATACTCAGTAAAGCATCTTGCTTATAGGATGAATCCCTTTCCTGCATACATTGTGTGGAGGGCCCTGACCCTACAAATACTTTTTTGCATGGCTTAACTTGAAGGATGCAAGCAATGCCACCAAAACCACTACTTGTGTACTTGAATAGAAGCAAGTGCAAAAGAAAGCGTTTGCAAAGTAGTGTACTAGATCATATTGGAAGGTCCTAAGATGCACATACCCATGACTGAGGCCTTCAGATATTACAGTGTCTCTGTACTCTGGCTGAGAAAATTACATTTCAAAATCAAGTGCAGTAACTGTCCTAAATCAAATGCATCCTTGATTTACCTAAGGCAGTTGTTGTCAACCAGGGGTACACCTACCCCTAGGGGTACTTAAAAAGGTCCTAGGGGGTATGCAGACTGAATGTAACTGACACATGCCATATGTGTGTGCACAGCTGCTTCACAGCATGTAGGCAGCGGGTCCAGCTGATAAGTATGTAGTGAGTGAGGGAAGGGGCTGAAGGAGGGGGCAGATCAAGGCTGCAGTGGTTGGGGAGGGAGTGGGGCTGGAACAAGGGCAGGAGCTGCCCAGCCAAGACGGGGTGCCGGACTGAGCTGGGAGGGCTTTGTGGGCATGTGCTCCTGGATCTGTGCAGGGAAGGGTGAGATGCTGCTGTGGGCCGGGGCGAAGGCTATGCCAGGCTATTCCAGGTGGGCACTGGTCTGGGCTGAGCTCTGGGCAGGTGGCAGCAGTG